AAAGTACCGTAATATTTTATTTGCGTGCGCGTTCTTCGTCATTCGGTGGCATTTTTATTTGGTGTATTATTTGTGAAAGATTATTAAAAAAAGCTATTTAAATATTAAGAAGAATGGGTACAGAAAATGTCTTTGGGGAATCGGCAGGCATATATTTCGTTGTTGATGGTGATTTAACCATGGGGAATGAAGTTGAGACTTCACTGCAGCAAAGCCAAGCCACTGAAGCTTCACGTGAAAAAGAAAATTTGAAAGACGTCGTATGTGGTAAAATGAACTTCAGTGAAGAAGTTTATCAAAGAATTCTCGGTAAGTTCTTTGAGAATCTGCGAGGAACCATATGCATATTTATGTTATTGACAGATTGCGGAATGGATGTAGAAAGTCTGTATTTCATCAACGATGGGGACATAAACGAACTTTTCCCTGCATCAATGCTCGGAACGAGAGTAAAGTTTAAAGAAAGAGTTGCACGTTGGCGACAGAATGAAGTAAGTAAATCATTTTCACATCAATGATAAGCTTTGCATACTTTTTTTATTTTAAGGCTGATACCATTTCGTCAATAGGATCATGCAAGAGTTGGATAAATTCTAGCCAAGAGTCTCACGACTCGATAAGAGACATGGAAGCAAAGAATTTAAAGTTAATACTTAATGCCACTGAAAGAGGTCAAAGCATCTTTAAACAATATAGAGAAAAGACCGTGCTGTCAGATGTTAGTCGTGACATTTTGGTAAATACGATTGTTGACCACTTCTCAGCGCGATCAGTGCCTATGACAATGAAAGATATCATCACCTTTTCTGAGCAAATAACAATTTTATTTCCCAACGAAGACATGGTATGTATGCATTTTCATATTCACTTGCTATCAAAATTTGTAAATACATATGTAAAGGAGGATCAAGTTTCAAGCGGATAAAAAATAGCACTGATTTTTAATAATTTTTTAGCTTACAGATTTTTGCCCTTTTTTCCTTATAAGCATGAATTTCTTACGAAATAAAAAGTGGAAGAAAGTTCGAAACTCTGATTTATATGGTTTTGGCTAAAGCTTGGATACAATTTTTATAGAAAAATAACAGAATAAATTTAGCTTGAAAAACGTTGTGAATATTAAAAAAAAAAAAATTCAACACTTAAATGCATTTATTTTACTTTTATTTAGCGCTATTACTGCAACCGTCGAAATGGCAAAATCCAACAGGCAAACTTTATGATAAGGCAACAAACATCCGAAGGAAAATAAAAAAAGAAACAGGAGCACTAAGCGTTGCACCTAAATGTCAACCCACTCAATCAAGTTTGTCGGAGCAGGCGAGCAATAGTAAATTTAATTTTACAAAAACGTACTTATCTATGTACGTGTATGTATGTATATACCACTATATTTGGCCCACAGTTTCGTGAGTATATTGATTGCTTCGTGGGTTTCGAAATTTTTTTGTTTTTGTCGCACGGTGCAATACCTAAAAATTGACGAAAACATAAGTACTGGCAACAAGTCTAATATTTATTTTTTCAAGTATTTATTTTATTTTCTTATGCAGACTCAATGGATTGTTTATTGACACTGCTTTTGCATGCGATACTTAAACCGTCATTAATTTCCGTTGGACAAACTTCTG